CTTGATCAGACTTTTGACACATTTTTTAATCGGGAAATGATCCTGTCAAGGACGACAGTAAAAATCCTGAATGTGTGACTTAGGCATTATGCAGAATAATGTTTAATTATTTATTTTCATCGGGAGTCGCCTGCGAGTATTTAAGTGATTGCCTTCTACTGTTATTAATGTTTAAAATATAGCACACTAGTTTAAACCCATCTACCACTTAAAAAAAGTATCGTTATCTTTCAATCTGCCGTGTTATTCGTAGTACGTACTGCTCAGGGGACGTAACTGCTGCGAGAGGTATGGTGTATAGGCTTCTCCTGATCAGTACTAGTGGAGGTTGAAACATTTACTGGTTGAGATGAGAAACCGTTTACTTTAAACACGAATTAAAGATTAAATAGAAATGTTGAGTAGGATTTAAAAAAACAAGTCATAAATCAAAGTACACAACTTTTATTTCCAAATCTCTATATTGCGGCAATGTAATTGTGGATATTCTATTTTAAAGGTTTTCGGATGTAATACTTTGAACATAATAGTAATACTTTGAACATAATAGTAATGATACGATTTAAATAAAATAGAAACCGATGTAATATGATTCCTGTGTTAGATACTACATATAACATATCAACATATAGGACAATGATTTGTATTTTGCTGAAGTGTTTCATTATAATGGATGTTTCATAGTTCACCTTATAACATTATCAAGTTGAATATTTCCCCACCCACTACCCCTTTACTTAGTGATATTTGTAATATTACCGTACTCAAAAATACAGGTCCAATATTTAAACTATATTTCTATACGACAATGATTTCAATATGTAACAATGGAAATTGCGCATAGTTTGTTACTTTATATACAACAAAATAGAGAACATGAATGTAACATCCCCAAATCTTGGCCAGTTTTCTATCACAAAATATAAAGTGTCTGATGATAATGAGGTGTTCTGTAATTTTCCACTTTAACGACTGCAATCTTAAATTACATTAGTTTCAACAAGTTCCAAATATCAGTCATGATTATGTATTACGAACAATGAACATTGCATAATTGTTTCACAAATAAAACCACATTACCGTTCTAACCTAATCCGAGAACAGTATAGAACATAATAGGTAACATCAACAACATACCAATTGTAACCTCATGAATTATACCAAGATTCATTTATTTTTTCTGTCATCTGTGACTGGCATAATCTTTATGATGATATTAAATCTAGAACAACACTAAAGTTATTAATTTATCACGTGTGTTAATATGATGATACATGCTGCATCTATCTGAACAGATTCGATCTTTGGTTTTTAGTTATCATACTGTATCCCAGACAACGTCACTATATTCTAAAAAGTGTGGGATGTACATGTATGTAAAAAAGTACCAGATAGATTCTATTCAAAATGAAATGCTTTAAAAATTACAATACGTTTCAAAGGTTGGGAAACAACTGAAGAGATGTGAGCGTGCAATTTTCCTTCGCTGTGAAAATTTCGCCTAAATGTTTAATTGAGATGTCACTCAGTTTTAGAATATGATAAATAAGATCAACAAGGAAATGTAGCGTTCAATGAACGCAATCCCAACACGACTCAGCAACAAGGACCAGCGGTAAGGAGCCCAGGAGGACCCCAAACATAAATATTTAGTTTTTAGGTTTGATTTGTTTACGTGAAATTATAATAAGTTTTGTAAGTTTTGCAGATCGTTATTTAGAACAGTCGAGGCAGGAGCAGCTAATCACCTAAGTCACCAAGAAAATAAAAGCTACTTAAACCGGCAAAATATAGGCCTGATATTTGGTTTTACTTTATTGACAATTCAACTTATATAAATGAGAAATAAAAGATGTACCAAGATTGAACCTTGTAGTACACCAGCTAGTATATTGTTTCAATTGGACATTGAATAAGAATTATATAAATAATAAATTACATTCATACAAATTAATAAAGAAAAACGCTAAAAAATAAATGACAAAATAATAGTAATAAAATAAGTAAAATAATGTACACTTTATATTGAGTGTTCTCCGTTCTTCAACATTATACAAATAATAAAGAAATGATAAAAAACTTTTTGAGAGATATATTCGGATGTTAATTAAGTGACGTTTCAAGTATCGAGTTCGGCAAAGAGTTGTATTATTTAACTGAAAATTTCATCATACTCATTCTCCATTTGAATGATATAAACTTTAAATTTCCATCATACTCATTCTCCATTGGAATGATATAAACTTTAAATTTCGTCCGGTAGAAGTTGGTCATGTACTAGTTGACACAAGCATTTAGCTCCGTTCTTCATTGTATGTCGCCCTTGTGCTTCACTCTCTACCAACATCAAATCAATATTGTCTCTCATGAAGTCATCAAATAGTCGGTCTGTATATTCCTGTAAATAACATTTAAATACGCCGGTATATTGATAATAAAATGGATGTGTTAACAATGTTTTATAAAATAGATTATTTATACTTGAAGGTACTTCATGGAAAATCTTGTGATAAATGGTTATAATTATTTGGATAAATAAACATGTCAAAAGGTAGGACGAAAAAAACAAGAGTATTTCATATCTATGCTATCTGGGTACAGACTAAATCAACAGTAAGAAAGGTAAAATAGCTAAACACTAATTGATTTACATACCAATATAGGAGTGTCATTTTGAAAAAAAGTTTAATTAAAAACAAATCTTATTCATCTTACATAATGAAAAGACGTTCTTAATTGGCGAATGGTAGATGGGAAGTAACACTGTAGACAATAAGTAATAAAAGTCATGCATTGTAATCACCCATAGATAGCAAACTAAACACTAAACTTAATTAATCAATTAAAATGAGGATGTATTATTGGAATACCTGCAGTGATTCTGTCGGCAACATGTGTCTCTTCAAAGCTTCCTTTTCAGTACATCTACGTACAAAATAATTCTACAAAAAGACAAAAAAATGCATGAATATCTTATCAAATGAGCCGCGTCACGACAAAACCAACATAGTGCGTTTGCGACCAGCATGGAACCATACCAGCCTGCGCATCCGCGCAGTCTGATCAGGATCCATGCTGTTCGCTTACCAACCCTTTACAAGTAGAGAAACTGATAGCGAACAGCATGGATACTGATCAGACTGCGCAGATGCGCAGGCTGGTCTGGATCCATGCTGTTCGCAAACGCACTGTGTTTGTTTTGTCGTGACGCGGCTCAAATATATCTTACACATTATTTATTTCAGAAATATGTAAGTAAATGCCGCTATAAAAATGTACGTTCTTTTCGGTGACAGCAAGATTTGTTGTTAGAATTTTTTTCTAGACTTGAGTTCGATTTGAATATGTTGATTTCTACCAAATAGTAATCTAAGTAAATTTATCACAAACAATGAAGGAAAGAAAATTTAAGACTTACACGGCATGGTTTTTTGTCAAACCTCATTATGTGCAGCTTCTAAAATAGAAACATTATTAAATATCTTAAAATCAATTTGACAAAATATAATAATAATGTATCATATTTGCTCCAGATATTGTTTTGTCATAAGGGTTCTTTTTGTCCAAGTATCAATCAAATCCATAAATGACTTACAAAGTTTGTGGTAGATATATAAACATAACCACTCAAGGTCCATTTGCACACGTAAAGAATGAACATGTTTATGGTAGGTGTTATAAGTAACTAATTTCATCTCGATAGATTATTGCAGCTCGTAGTAACATTCATGCTATTAAATGACAGGCGACATTATTTGACATTTTAATTATAACAGGACAATAATGAATACATTAATGTTTAAATATAATAAAATATATTTAATATAAAAGTTATAACATATACCCCTGCTTTGAATATTACAACAAATTTGTCAGTGTCAACATTCTTCCGGTTTATTTTTGTCCATAATTTTCGCATCAGGTGTAATTTAGTCTGAAAGAGCAATGTCTCATAATTAGTATGTTCATAAATTAGATAATGCCGTACGTTTTCATCAAATAGGATTGTTTCGATTAGCTTAAATAAAACCATCAGCACTCTTTCAATCTAGTTATCCTAAATATTTCGCTGAATGTCTAATTCAAAGACTTAGGACATGGCTTTTTGGACATTCCTTTGGCCGAGGTGAATATCATTAATTAGTCATGTCCGTAGACTGTGATTTGGATATCCACCGTTATCTTAATGCATTGCACGGTTTGGTTCAGTGCAGTGATATTATGACGAATGCCGTAAGAGAGTAGTAACCACCATAACGATATGCTGTGCAATATAAGAAAACAATGATACCAATAGAATAAATATCTACTTCTATTCCAATATGTTCATAGCAAATGAACTTTCGAGAATAGCTGAAAAAACATCAACAGGGAAGTAATTTTCTGTACATTATTTGGTCTACTGACATGATGGCATGAGTTCTAAACTCGTGCAACGTTCTTTTCTATATTCTGCTTTTTTTACTCGAAAGTATAGTCTACGTTTGTTATAGAAAAAAACTGGAAACCATGTAAATATTCTTGTTCAGCTTATTACTATTATCTTTTTATATTATTATTTGTTTTTTTATAACCAGTATAATTTTTTCAAGTCCTTCAAATATAGATCCATATACATGTATCATTTTTGTGAATTAATACCTATGTTACTATTTATAGTAACAAAATCTAGGGTATTTCAGGGTCATTTTTCATTTTGCGATTTCGACCGCCTTGCTACTCGGCCTTATTTTTCCATAATGGGCGAGTGAATGAGCGCACGTGCAAAATGAGACGAGAAATACACTAAAGGCGAAGGCGAAAGATCTAAAACATAAAGGACTGGGAAACAAAAGATACAGATCAGATCCTTTCACGAATGCAGAAATTGAGACTCTTTACGAGAAGCAACTGTTAGGCGGAAGTAAGTTCTTCAGCTTTTCATATTTTTCATTCATTTATTTGCATCTAGTCTACAGAATATAATATTCAACATGAAATACAGTTGAACATGAGTATCATAAAACTGTCACATTTTTATTTTAACTCATCAATGTTTATATTAACTTTAAGCATTGTTAATTCCTGGGTAAAAATTTACACATATATGTGTGACAGATATTTGTATAACCGTAAAGGGCGACAACTTTGACAAGTGAGTAGGTCTAAACACCGTAAATTACTAAGAATAGTTAAATCCTATAAAAAGATTTGTATTATTACCATATTCTGTTATGATTTACATACCTGACTAATGAATTTGAAAAGATCATGTAGAATGAATATTTGGCGTTATTTTAATTTATTGGTAACCCAAAAGCTCTTATTTCAACTATCTGGTTGAATGACACAATGCATCTAGGCTTGCGAGGAAGACAGGAACATGTTACAATGTTATGGGGTGACCTTGAGTTGCGAAAGACGAATGGCACAGATGGGCGGCAATAAATTGAATTTACAGAGAGGGCAACAAAGACCAGGAAAGGTCTAAATGATGAGCCAAGAATGTTTAAACTATGGGAAGAAAAAAGCAAGCCATATCTAGTAATTAAATGTTTTATAAAGGCAAACTTATTACAGATATATTTTCAAAAAAGTTTTAATTTTAGATGAGAATAAGTTTTCTTATACCAATTATAACAAACGTGACATATATTTGATAATATCATTAATTTAGAAACTAATTGTGTTGAAAAATGTAAATAAATGAAATTAAACTGAAATAATATTGTTGTTTTATACAGATGATCCTCATTGTCCCGTGAAAATGTACCTGCTTTATAAGGAAAACAGACCAACAGTTGACTCAGAGAGTAGGTTCTACCTGCAAGTTAATAGATACTGGCAAACAAAGGGCAATTGGTTTAACACTGCCTTGTCCTATGAGAAAAGATTCCCTCGGTACAATTGCCAAGGCTCTAAGTGAAAGTGCCGATTGCAGTGGAAAACACACAAACCATTCTGGAAGAAAGACATTTATTTCCAATCTTTTAGATAAAGGTGTCCATTAAACAGAGGTTGCTCAAATTTCTGGTCATAAAAAATTGCAGTCACTTAACCATTACCATTCCCTAAGCATTGAACGCCAACAGGAACTGTCAGAGATAATACATGCACCGCAAAAGATAGACACACCTAGGACAAGTATGACAAACTTCAGAACTGATGAAATATCCGAACTGCTCCCAGGAAGTTGAAAAAACACTTCAAAGTATTGAAATATATGAAGAAGTTTAAGCAACACCAAGGTTGAATGTAGGCGTTTCTCAGAGTCCAGACAGCATTTTTACCATGTCTCACTTCAGGAATCAACCACAGTCCATGTTCAGTGGTTGTACTTTCAATCAGCCTGTCAATATCATTTTTAAGAACTAATCTTTCAAAGGAACAATTAACTGACATGAGATCAGTTTTTTTTGTATCCACAGATATAGTGTCTAAGGTTGAGTAATTTGTCAGCGCATCCATTGACAAAAAAACACCATTCATTACATTTGCAATATTTCTTTTTCCCGAGATTTTGTTGGCAGATTCATGTATACAAATAAATGCGTAAATGAAATAAAATGTGTAAATAAGATTTAAATTTTAAATGCAGTTCGTTTTATTTTTTTACTATTTAATGAACTATACTTATCATATTTTACAAGAATTTAAATGCTAGACAAATATTTTATCTTGTCACCTTTTTTTGCCTTCATTGGCAAATTATTTGCTTACAAGAAAAGATATGACCGCATGTATAAAGTTTCTAGCCTTGTAAAATATAGCGGACAATTTATATATATTAAGTGAACGAAATTCCGATTTCAAAGATAATAATATATATATATATATATATATATATATATATATATATATATATAGTAAACATAGGTATTAAAGACGTTAATACTTGGTTGCTGCTCGCCATTATGCGATAATGGCCCGAAGATGTCCATAATGTCCTTCGGGCCGCTCGCCATTATGCGATAATGGCCCGAAGATGTCCATAATGGCCTGAGAGCCGCATTATGGACATCTTCGGGCCATTATCGCATAATGGCGAGCTGCAACAAATTATCAACCACTAAATAACGTCGCATGCCTTGAAGGCGTATCTTTTGAAAGAGCACTTCATTTACGACAAACTTAATCGATATCCTAATACAAAGATTAAATTTAATTTATCTACAAAAACAATAAATATGTACAATAATAGTACCCGCTGTTTCAAACTCTTTGTCATTCCTTTCCACCTTTTAAAGTTTCCAAGAGATCCACATCCGTGAACGATAATGACACACAGCCACAGAATAAACATAGATAATAAGCCATACAGATTTCCTAGTTGTACTGTTATTATCTGTTTGTTTACTGTTGGCTTAAATGATTGTTCAAAGATGGCGGAACTTACACCTAAATAGAGTAAACCCGCCATGAAGAATACAAATGTTGTCATGCGTGAAAAAATGCCGTTAATATGGGCATACTTTATGTAGTCGGACTCCCTCACAATCTGTTGTATTTCATTCAATAGTGTGTCTGAAATCTGAATTAAACGCATCTGTTAACTATATAAATTCTAAAATTGTGTAATAATGACTTAAACCATGTCACACTAGGGCGGCGTTCTCCCGGCGTCCAAAGAAAATTCAGAACGCCGAGGTGAGCGCAGTTAAATCGCAAACATCGCCGCAGCATCGTATTGACATCGCATAGAACGCCGACCGACGGCGCGCATTTTGAAGATACTCAAAACAAACGCCGTCACTCGGCGTTTTGATAAGAGCGCAGTGGGATCGCAGTAAGAACACCGAAGCAACTCAGTAGCATCTCTTACATCGCAACAGGAGCGCCATGAGAGCGCAAAAGGAATGCCGAATGAACTCGGTGGTTATCAACGGCGCTTGTACGGAGATTGTGCGGCGTCTCTACCGCGCTCATACTTCGTGTGCTCGGCGCTTTTACGGAGCTTTAATATTTATTCGCAGTGTGGGCGCCGCATGAGCGCCGTGTGAGCGCCGTAAAAGCGCAGTGGAAGCGCAAAGAACGCAGTAGAAGCGCAGTCCAAACGCAGACAATCGCCAATCAAACGCCGTGGAAGCTTCGAAGCATCGCAATGAGGACGCGGTGAAGACCCCGTGAAGTCTCCATGTCATCAAAATATCACAATTTTTATTGCGGGTTTCTGTAGTTAGGCACTTCTGCAGAATGTCAAAAATGGACAGTGGTAGAATTAACCAAAACATCTTTGATTGGGCAAGACGGAGTGCGGAGTTCCAGATGTAAAAACCAGTATTTTAGAATATGTAAGATGTTTAGAAGTATTGAGATAGATATGAATGATGTAAATGTTTTTAGTGCTAAGAGAATAGTTGAAATGGTCGAGAACAAGTTACGATCAGTTGAATTAAATAAGTGGAAACAGTCACTAAATAGGAATGATTCCAATAGAAATACTGGTGGTAATTAACTTAGAACATATAGATTGTTTAAAGAAAATCATGTTGTTGAAATATACCCCCAGTACTATTTACCCTTCTTTGACAAAATTTCGTTGTGGTGTTGCGCCTATCCTATTAGAGACAGGCCGTTATGAGAATCTGCATGTAAATGATGAACATGTTTCAATTGTACCACAAATGTTGAGGATGAGATTCATGTAATTTTACACTGCCCAGTATATAATGATATCAGAGAAGAGTTGCTGGTGAAAACACGCCAAAGTAATAATGTATTTGATACACTGTCTGACACGGAAAAGTTATGTTATTTACTAAACAACTTTGAAATTGTTAAATATTCTGCCAAAGCCTGCTACCAAATCCTGCAACTTAGACGTTTAAGGCTGTATATAACTAATCTAGACATTAGTTGAATTGTATTTTTTTTTACTTACTTAATTTTTAATGTTTTTTACATGTTTTTAACAATCCAAATTATTGTAAACACATGTATATAAGTACAACAAGCTTGAGTATGGTGCTTTTATAGTGCTTTTATAATGATATTTTTTATTAACAGGTTTAAATAGGAATATTGCTATTGATATAGAAAACAGTAATGAAAACTGTATGGATTTAATGCCTTTGGGGTATAATATTGATCTTGCCAATTCAAAAGTAGCCTGGAATTTTCAGGTGTACAGACTCCTACAATGTATTGTAATAAAGAATTTTATTACCCCCCCCCCCCGCCGAAAAGGCGGCGGGGGATATAGTAATAGTCTCCGTCCGTCCGTCCGTCCGTCCGACCTTCCGTCCGTCCGTCCTTTCGTCCGACATTTTTGTCCGGAGCATATCTCAAAAAGTATTTGAGTTATCAACTTGAAACTTCATAGATGGATAGACCTCATTGAGTAGGAGTGCAGTGCACAAGAATGATAACTCTACCCTGCATAATTTTTGAGTAAGTGCCCTTTGTTATTTTTCAAAATTAATTTTGTCCAGAGCATAACTCAAAAAGCCTTTGAGATATCAACATGAAACTTCATAGGTGCATAGATCTCACTCAGGAGGTGTGCAGTGCACAAGAATAATAACTCTACCGTTCATAATTTTTGCGTTATCGCCCTTTGTTTTTTTTCATATAATTCTTAATTTTTCACCTGAGTGGAGCGTAACTCAAAAAGTGTTTGAGATATCAACATGAAATGTCATAGGTGGATAGATCTTATTGAGGAGGAATGCTGTGCGCAAGAATGATAACTCTTCCCTATACAATTTTTGAGTTATTGCCCTTTGTTCTTTGTCATACTATTTTTGTCCGGAGCTTATCTCAAAAAGTATTTGAGGTATCAACTTGAAACTTCGTAGGTGGATGGATCTCATTTAGGAGGAGTGCAGCACACAATAATGATAACTCTACCCTGCTTATTTTTGAGTTATTGCCCTTTGTTATTTTTTAAAATTAATTTTTGTCCAGAGCATAACTCAAAAAGCCTTTGAGATATCAACATGAAACTTCATAAGTGCATAGATCTCACTCAGGAGGTGTGCAATGCACAAAAAAAATGATAACTCTACCGTTCATAATTTTTGAGTTATTGCCCTTTGTTATTTTTCATACCTAATTTTTCACCCGAGTGGAGCATAACTCAAAAGTGTTTGAAATGTCAACATGAAAAGTCATAAGTGGATAGGTCTTATTGAGGAGGAATGCTGTGCACAAGAATGATAACTCTTCCCTATACAATTTTTGAGTTATTGCCCTCTGTTCTTTTTCATACTATTTTGTCGGGAGCTTATCTCAAAAAGTATTTGAGGTATCAACTTGAAACTTCATAGCTGGATGGATCTCATTGAGGAGGAGTGCATTGCACAAGAATGATGACTCTACCCTGCATAATTGCTTAGTTATTGCCCTTTGTTATTTTTCAAAATTAATTTTTTTCCAGAGCATAACTCAAAAGGCCTTTGAGATATCAACATGAAACTTCATAGGTGCATAGATCTCACTCAGGAGGTGTGCAGTGCACAAGAATAATAACTCTATCGTTCATAATTTTTGCGTTATCGCCCTTTGTTTTTTTTTCATACTAATTCTTAATTTTCACCTGAGTGGAGCGTAACTCAAAAAGTGTTTGAGATATCAACATGAAATGTCATAGGTGGATAGGTCTTATTGAGGAGGAATGCTGTGCACAAGAATGATAACTCTTCCCTATACAATTTTTGAGTTATTGCCCTCTGTTCTTTTTCATACTATTTTGTCGGGAGCTTATCTCAAAAAGTATTTGAGGTATCAACTTGAAACTTCATAGCTGGATGGATCTCATTGAGGAGGAGTGCATTGCACAAGAATGATGACTCTACCCTGCATAATTGCTTAGTTATTGCCCTTTTTATTTTTCAAAATTAATTTTTTTCCAGAGCATAACTCAAAAGGCCTTTGAGATATCAACATGAAACTTCATATGTGCATAGATCTAACTCAGGAGGTGTGCAGTGCACAAGAATGATAACTCTACCTTTTATAATTTTTGAGTTATTGCCCTTATCTTACTTAAAAGTTAAAAACATTAATAATGTGCCTTGTTATGAGTCAATTTCTTATAAAAATGAATTTGTTTTTAACGACATCTGTGTAACAAAATACCTCGTTGAACATTTCAGGAAGGTATAATCAGAAAAAAAGGTGGTTCTAGCTCATACACATACTTAGGCCAATGATTGAAAACAAAAAGAAATATATGTAACAATTTTAATATGTTGAGTGAATTGAAATAAAAAACACAGGTATTCAACATACATATTGATTTTTGTTACGGGAGGGCTTTGTCCGCCTTGTTAATTTCACGGGAGGGCTTTTGTCCACCCAGTCATTTCATGGGAGGGCTTTTGTCCGCCCTGTTATTTTCACGGCAGGGCTTTTGTCCGGGAGGGCTTTTGTCCGTTTCCTACTTTTTTAACATAGGGTGTCGGAGTTCTGTTGCATTGGATATTTGTTAGCTCAGACAATTATTGTCATAGTATTATAATTACCAGACAGATAGGCACAAATTTGACCTCTTTGGCCATATAATTAATATAAGATTGTGTCTAAATATTGATTTTTTATTATTAAAAAGTACATATTTTAGAGATTATTTTAATAGTTTTACAGTCTCTTATAACTCCTTATGTAGGAGTGGCTTTGTGTTGTATAAAAAATTGTGTTTTATTTCTTAAATATATAATACATATGTAATACATGTAAATATGTAAAGATGCACAAAGATGAGACTTTAATAAAATATTTGAGTTTGAGTTTGCGATCTCGAGGCGCTTTGTTAAATTAAACAACGCCGTGCAAACGCAGTGAAAGCGCTAACTAGTGTGACAGGGCCTTTATTTAACTATTCATGTGCTTTAAATGATTAAGAAATAATAAACACATATAAACTATAAAATAACAATGAAGTGTGGCTATTATCAATGGTAACATTACATTTCATTGGAAGCGACAAAGTTCAGCACAAAGTAAACCTGATTTTGTTTAATCACTGCAATATTATATGAGCCGCGTCACGACAAAACCAACATAGTGCGTTTGCGACCAGCATGGATCCAGACCAGCCTGCGCATCCACGCAGTCTGATCAGGATCCATGCTGTTCGCTATCATATTCTCTACTTGTAAAAGGGTTGGTAAGCGAACAGCATGGATCCTGATCAGACTGCGTGGATGCGCAGGCTGGTCTGGATCCATGCTGGTCGCAAACGCACTATGTTGGTTTTGTCGTGACGCGGCTTATATGTTTTACATAAGTATAATACATTACAACACATACATATGGCATATGGCTCATCAGGACTATACTAACACATAGATTACTGCTGGAAAGTTACCATGTCATTGTTCAACTAACCTCAAAGCCATTCCTCCTAATTGAGCGTCGATTTGCAGCATTAAAAATCATTGTATACCGGTACAGTGACAACCATCTCCATGAAATAGTATATTTTGACAGCAAGAACTCCAGCGTATATCCATTGCTTTCTTAAATACATACAATAAAATATCAATTTACCACAGTGTCAATGACAAGTAAACTATGGCATGTTAAACGTTGCAAAATTCAATAAATCTTCTTCTTTTTTGTCTATATCCAATATTTATATTGAATCACTCTAATTTTATATTCTATACCATAATATTTATTCAATCTTGCTGAATATTTGTTCATCATAAAAATATTTGTGTGCGATAATTTTCTATACGTATGTTCTATATTTGAAAATATATATTTAAGAAATAATATATCTCAAACTGTGATTTTATTGCTCAATAACATCACTGTTTGGAGTTCGGATGTGAGGAATTATATCACGAGGGCGTAGCCCGAGTGATATAATGATGCGCATCCGAACGACAAACAGTGATGTTATCAAGCAATAAAATCACCGATTTGGATATATTATTTCGATTCTAACACGACATCAACAAATAAATGCAGCCGTGCATTATAATTAGCTTATATGCGCCTGATTTGTTTCCGTACTTATTGTCAGCGCGTCACATTTTAGTGGTTACGTCACGTGTATAATGATTACGTCACATGTCTAAATATAGAACGTCAAACAGTGATTTTATAGCATAATAACACACACTTTCGGTTCTTCTATGTTCAATAGGGAAAAATGCGGGTCGTGTTAGAATGTATAATTGAATATTGTACAGACGTTTAAAAGAGTTGTTTACATGACGTCACAATGTAGCGCTAAATATCGCGTGCATATCAATACAATAATTATATTACTGCGCGCTGTACAATTGCAGTTGCGTAGCAAGCAAGGGGGTTTGTAAGCATTTTTCTTTGATAATGAAATTAAATAAAAAGGTTATTTTTTTCGTTTTTCGTGAAATATGGTATATATTTTCACTCAACATGATAAAATGCCACATATTTTCACTCGCCGTACCGGCTCGTGAAAATATGTGGCATTTTATCATGTTTCGTGAAAATATATTCCATATTTCACGCAAACAAAAAAATATCCTCTTATTATTTAATTTTACCCATGAAATATGGTGCTATATCAGTCAAATATATTTCATATTTTTTGAAAATAAATATGAAATATAAATATGAAAGTGGGCGGAGTCAAAACTCATATTTATTTTAAGGGACTTCTTTCGCCGTTTTGTTTGAAAAATCTGATGAATACAAAACAACTTTTTCTTGAATATTGTTTTGAAAACTATCTAGCATGATAGAAAATGGTCTAACTAAGAAAATTAATCCGAAAACCAATATCTTTAATTCAGTCATTAACACTGTACAGACGTTGTTTACGTGACGTCACAATGTAGCGCCAAATATCGCGTGCAAAACAAGACAATAATTATATCACTGCGCGCTGTACAATTGCAGTTACGTAGGAAGCAAGGGTGTTCGTAACCATTTTTCTTTGATAATGAAATTAAATAAAAAGGTTATTTTTTCGTTTTCGTGAAATATGGTATATATTTTCACTCAACATGATAAAATGCCACATATTTTCACTCGCCGTTCCGGCTCGTGAAAATATGTGGCATTTTATCATGTTTCGTGAAAATATATTCCATATTTCACTCAAACGAAAAAATATCCTCTTAATAATTTGAATCATGGGATAGAACACTTAGCATATGAAGCCCCGCCTATAAATTAAGCACGCATTTCTGATAAAGCGTTATCATCCTGATAGACTATAGTGTAGTGGAAATGATCAGTGTCTCTGTGAATGTCACATATGTTTATCCTCCCTATAAGTATATATGTATGTCTAAAAAATGGAAAAAGATTTTAAAATCTTCAGGACATACGAGGGATGATAAAAAATAAACCGCACTGGGACTGTCAATTGATTTTTTTTTACTTATTGTTATATATCACAATTAATCGGAAAACTATACCTGTAAACTGATGCTATATCTAATTTGATATCGCAGCGAATTAAAAAAAACCATGGCCACGCACACCCGGCGCAGTGCATAAATTTGCGCTGACAGTAGGCGTTTTATGAAACATATATTTTACAATATGGCACAATTACATTTCAAAATACGGCGAAACGTCATGAGCAATATTTGACGTTGTCAGGAAAAATGACTTTATTTCGAACACATTTATCGTTGCAATCACAATTCATATATCACTTGTAAAAGAATAACTCGCATTAAAATTATGCCGTCGGAACGTCACAAAATTCGATCAATAAGAAATTCTGTGAATAGTAAGTCGAGAAAATGTTGAAAACGTAGAAAGGTATAATGGAAAAAGGGAAAAGGTTAAGGAAACCACAGCATAGTTTCTGATTGACACAAATGATTAAGAAAAGGTGATTGAGAAATTGAAAAAAGAAAGATAAGGGAGCGGCAGAAGAAATTTTCAAGGACGTTGCTGACGTCAATCGCCGAGAGAGACGTTGAAAAGTGACAGGCGATTGACTGCGGCTATTGTAAACGATGTTCGACAGTAGCTAAAGGACTGTGCAAAATTTAAAATGATGTATATTAATGTAATTATTATCACACTGGACATAGCTTTCGCAGAAGCGGTTGGTTCATAGCAGCGGCAATGGAGATTTCGTCGCAGAAGCGATGGATAAGATATGGTCGTTTGCTGGTGTCGGTAAGTTTATGACTAAATTTTACTTTATGTTTTAATGTTTTACCGGAAACACCTAGTGAGTCTGAAACCCACATATGTACGTTTCAAACTTATTACAGGCACACAGTGCAATTCATTGCCATTTGTGCTAACACTTATGTACAGTTTGACATGGGGACGCCACTTTTTCTTTTTTAGGTTAAAACAAGTGCAATTGTGTGAAAACGGCCCCTTAATGCACCAACATTACATCATATGAATAATATTTGCACTAAACAACCATAATATGGATTTTTATTGACTTTTTATAAAAGAATTGACAAATTCGATTAAAACGCAGACGGCGGTGGATTCAATTGTAACGCATTAATGTCTATTCTGAGAGTTTAACTTGACATAACGCATTTTTCAATTTAGAACAACCTTTTTCTTACGTTGATATCAGAGAAACGCTTTCTTTTAGTGTTTAAAACATTATAAGAATCTTATACTGGCTGCCGGTACCGACCGGATTATCTAGCTCGAGGTTTACTGCGGTAACGAGACTCTGCTGAGTTGCCCCTAAACAGTTACCCGAGAGCAAGATATTCCCGGCTGTACCGACAGCCGGTGTTTGATTCTTTTTCTTGTATATTACATATCAATTATTTTCAGAACAGAAATCACGAAAACTGATATTCTTATCAAGCTCTTTTTTATAGTAGCGTATGAAATTACAACTTCATTCATTATGGTAAAATGACGTCTTCCTGAGAACGAAATGCATTCATAAATGTCGCGCGGCAATGACGTCATTTAAAGCCCAACTTGTCTTACATGGGGTGTTAGACAGGTTTTTCTTGCATCTCAAACAGGATTATCTACCGTTTACACCGGTGCTAGAAAACTCTGTCTTACACCCCCCATGTAAGACAAGTCGCGTGCTTTAAATGACGTCATTGACGCGCGACTTTTATGAATGAATCGCGTTCTTAGGATGACGTTATTTTTCCGTTATGAATGAAGTTGTATGTTCATACGCTACTATAAGAAAAAAGTGCGTAATGAGAATATGAGTTTTCATAATTTCTGTTCCGAAAATAATTGACATGTAATATGCAAGAAAAAGAATCAAACACCGGCTGTTGGTACAGACGGGAATATCTAGCTCTCGTGTAACGGTTTAGCGGAAACTCGGCTGAGCCTAGTTACCGCTGTAAACAGTTACCATCGAGCTAAATATTCCGGTCTGTACCGGCAGCCGGTGTAAGATTCTTATATACTAGCGTCGGTGTATACGGTAGATTAATAATATCTGTCATACTTTGCGGTTCGGATCGGAATATACGTCCCGAGGTGACCCGCCCAACATATGTCAGATGTTTTTTCTTGCATATTCTACCATATTCCATTATATTTTAAATTCTTTATCTTTATTTTCAATGTCAATTTATATCATTAAAACCGTAACTACTTTCTTACAACAGCGTATGAATTACAACTTCATTCGTAACGATAAAATGACGTCATGCTAACCGTGTTATTGTACAGCACGCGACTCATCTGGAACCCCCCCCCCCCCCCATGCCAGATGAAATTTCCGGCATGGGTAAAACTCACGGAAACGCCAGTCTGATATGCAAGAAAATCCTGTCTGATGTGCAAGAAACAAACTTTATAATACTGCACGTCTGTAACGTCGCTTTTCATTGGATAATCAAATCATAACAGTTATATAGCTTTATATGCACGTATGCTGTCAATTTATGAAGAAATCATTTTTTTTCTATAAAAAAGATGCTTGCTTTATATGAAGCTTTTTACGGGTTATATGGCCGTATATAAACGATTGCAACAAAACCTTAGCTTAGCTGTTCGGCAACCAACGACCATATAACCTGTGGGGGAAAAAACAACAAAACACGGTCAATTTACCTGTCAAAAATCTTTATAAGTACAATGAAGTAATAGAAAGAGCATCGAAACACGAGGCTATCTGATTTGTAATGTTGGCGTATTTAGGGGTCATTTTGCACACATGTTTAAGCAAAATTAGCCAAAAGTAGCGTCCCCTCGTCAAACTGTACAGAAGTGATTGCACAAATGACAATGAATTTTACCGTGTGCGTGTAATTAGTTGGAAAAGTACATATGTGGGATTCAGTCTCACTAGATGTTTCAGGTTAATTATTAAAGCATAAAGTAAAATTCAGTCATAAACTTACCGACAGCAGCCAACGGCCATATTTTATCCACCTCTTCTGCGACGAAATTTCCTCTGCCGCTTCGATGGATCCACCGCGTCTGCGAAAGCTATAGCCATTGTGATTATTATGTTCTTGGTTTACAATTGTATAAATCATTCTACTATTCTACCTTTACAATTTAAAAGTTCAGTTCAAAATGATATATGTATTGTCCAACAA